CCCTCAACCCTGAACACCAATCACCAAAGTCACCAACCAAATTCGGGCCCCAAGAAGCAACCTAATCGATGCCATAAGTACTCGGAAGACCCGGCTTTACTGGCGTTCCAATAGAAAAGCAACAGTGATACATAGTAGGCGTAATACTAATAGCGACAACAGAACTTACCCTAAACCGTAAATCCCTAAATCCCTACCCTAAATCCCGAAATCCCTATTAAACCCTAAATCCAATCATCCCCAATCAAACCCTTAACTCCCTCAATAACAACAGATCACTGCCCTGGATTCCCGCCTGGCAAAGACGAGGATTGGACTGCAAGGTACCTGGGGCTTAGGCACCAGAACGTACGTCCCAGACATGTCGCCCAAACGCAGTAGGCCATGCCAGCAAATTGGATCCGAAATGCCCTCCCGCAGAGTCGCCAGTTAGAATGATGCGCTCGAAGCCTCCCGTAGCAGTACCCAAGTGAGCGCTCAAGTGTTGCTTCTATGAGGCTGCGGTAGCAACTGAGGACAGGGGGGGACACACATGTGTAAAGTAAGTCGTGCTCCGGGCTTGTCTACAGCTTGCCACCAGGCTGAGCAGCTGCTAAGATGTTGCTAATTGCCCAACATGTTCAGCAGGAACGAGGAGTGAACTCTCCAAACAAGCAGTCACACCTACTTCAATAGTACCTCCTGCCTTGCGCCAGCAGCCACTTGACTGCTGCTTGCACTTGCTTCTGGGTGTCATCGTATGTGGCCGGCAAAGTATAGTGCAAGGCCTGTGCCGATCTTTCATAACACAGCTGCAGAAGTAGCGTAGAATGACACTAGAGGCGCACAAGAAGGCCGGGAACCTCGCTTTGAACCAAAACACGCTTTGGGAGTCGGTCAATTCGTGCGATGCATCTGAGTGAGCAGGGTTACGGGCAAAAACTTCACGGGTCCCCACATCTGGGTAAAAAGCAGTACAGATCTTGACTTACAACCTCCATAATGGACTGGGAATGTGACACAAGCCCAAAGAAGAAATCCCGGGAACAGCTATGTCTGTCCCAGCCACAAGGACCGGTGGGGGAGCCCGGTTCTCTGCCAGACGCGGCAGTAGCCGTGCGGCGAAGGCTCCAGAAGTCGGCTGGGCGAGGGAAATGCAGAAAGGAGCGCTTAGCATAGCTTATGACTTTTGAGCGGTCGTCTCACAGAAGCCTCTTGGCTTGTCAATTCATCAGAGATCATGATGGCCCAAATCTGTAAACAAACCTGTGAAGCCTGCACCTTGAGCCTGGTACTAGCTCGTGACTGTGGGGTCATCAGCTCAGCGACCAAGACCCTGGCAGCCCTGATCAGGAAACCGCCGCCCGGGAGATAAATCAAAGCAGTCCTGCAGTCAGTCAGGGCCGAGGTCTCAAGGCCTTGAAACTTGAGAGGCTGTAGGATTCATGATGCAGACTGCAATGCTCTTCCAATGCTTTGAGAAACAGGCTTCAAGCAGCTGTGCAGGCGCTGTGACCGTCGCTCCCCCTCGACATTCATCTAACAACTACTGCTCCTCACTCAAAGTGCTCCTGGTATCATGCAGGCCGCTTGGAAGTGTCAGCCAGTCTGCCTCGAGCCCTGCAGGCAGGCCCTTTGCGGGTCTTCGAGCTATGCTTCGGCTGAGAAGTGGTCCTCAGGGGGAAGTTGGAGCGGCTCAGAAGTGGTGACATGCCAAAGCATGGGCTGGGTAAAACACGTCCCTAGCTGCCTGGAACAGCAAGCACTAGGTTGCGCGCAGCGGGGAAATTTTCAAGTCTATGCACGGGGACTTTGCCAAGCAAAGTGGTCTCCAAATGCCCCGGATGCACAAGGTCACAGCCAGCCACAAAGAGTGCAAAAAGAATGAGTGACAAAGAGCAGATGGCCAAAACCAACAAACAAATCAGAAAGACCATCGATCGTCAGAAGCGTGCAAGGCATCAGAAGAAAAGCCCTGCCGCACACATACAACTAAGGGCATCCAATATCCAAACCCAAACAGGACTGCGCACATAGTAGATCACAAGACGTGGCGACATTCAAAACCCACCGGCATTGTCGGCAAACAAGCTACAGTATCGCTCACGCTGGAGCTGTCCTTCGAAGCATCTTGCTAGGGGGAAGATCAGGTATCCCCTCGAGTGCTGCAGAAATGTGCACACAGTCTTTTGTTGAATGTCACGCTTCTTACGGCAATCTGCATGTTGCTGGCAACCATGCGTACGTCATACTACATGCTGATTGGGAAGTTGCAACATTGGGCGGGACACAAAACTGGCTCGATGCTTCCAAGATGCATGAGCCACGAGAACAGTTCCTTGCCAATCAGATTCAAATTTTCAGCGCCAGGGAACAGGGGGCAAAGGATTGCAACCTCTATCTCCAGCTTAGTCTGGACTTCCTGACAACCTTGCTCATCCATGCCCCAGGCGCCGGTCTAATGTATGCAACGGATCGCAGGGCTGCCAACAGCAGCGACATGAGCCAAGGGTAGGGAAACCGCCACCCGACCAACCCTGCTGAAGAAGTGAGGTCTCCAGGCCTTGCCATATCATCATGGGGATGTCTCAAACAGCTGTTTTCTTGAAGCCAAAAATTCACATGCTGAGCTCCGAAAGCCTGCCAGAGCAGGAAAAACTTTGAGACACCCCCGCACCGATCGCAAGACTACTTCTTGAGCCCCAACTTGCGGCAAACAAGCTCACTGCAAAATCAGCTTTCGGGCATGTCTCACTCCAAACATTGCAAATCCCCTCTCCAGCGCCGAACCTGATTTGCAAAACCTAACCACTCGAAAGCTTTCATTGGGGTGTGACAGTCGATGTCAAAAAACCAAAGCTCAGGGCAAATGAAACAGGTGCTTCTCTAGGCTGACTGAGACCACAAGAACTTTGACAAGAACACAAGAACCTTGTTACCTGCAGGACTTCTGCTCAGGGTAAGTCTGGGGAATTTTGCGGCTCGGTTAAGACGTCTTCTGCTGACTGAGCACAGAACCCCAGGCCGTGGGCAGCTAAAGCATCGGCGACGAGTTGAAGCCTGAAGCAATAATCAGATGGATGCACGCGTCTCGCGGTAGGGATGCATAGGCATCGCACAGTGGTATGCCAAATCCATTTTGATGATTCTATGTCATTCTATGTTGTTCTTTGTTTGTTTCCTTTGCAATTAGCATTGCCAGAATACGCAGAGATGATGATCGGCATGCTTATTCTAGCGAGCGGCCATGACGTTCTCAGAAATACCAGTCGCTGATAAGTTCACTTCACAACCTCCTGCATGTTGGTGGCCTGCCCTTTTTGTTCGTCAGGCCCCTAGACTGGATGCCAGGTTTTGGATTCATCTCGTTGTCGCTCTTCTTGAGACCATCACCTACGATTGAGCAAATGAACATAGTTGAACTTTGACGCCATGCCTGGGGGTAGTGTCATGATTTTGAGCACTGTTCTCGTTATATCCCACATCAACACTAGTTTGAGGATTACATTCGCTGCTGCTGCCGAGTCTTGCAGTAGGCCGATTTTGTGGCGACAAAAACACTCTAAGCCAGAGGAATGCTGCAGTCTCGGGAAAATTAGTGAAACTGTCTGTTGTTGGGTTCCCGTCTTGCCTCACCAAGCATCACTGTCCAAATGATCAAAAAATAGCGTCTGTACTCCACAATTTTCAGTAGAGTCTAAAAAAGTCCGCCTTTACTCCGGGATTACTCACAAAAAATACGACATCAAGCTTTGGGATCGTTTAGTGATGTGATCTCGTCTTCTAAGACGCCGGTTCCTTCTTCAGGCAAAACAAAGGCTTTGGCAGGCCGCGGTGTGCAAGGGGGCCACCACCCACGGAAGCGCTGATGACCTCTGCAACATGAGGGCATGGAGTGTGGAGAGTGCGAGAGGTTGTAGGTGTATTCTGAGCGCAGCTTGAAGGGGGATTGTAAGGGGACCTATATGGGGGACCTTAGAGGAACAAATGAGGATTTAGGGAGGGAGACCAAAGGTAGATTTTTGCCTTTGCTACTGTCCGGGGGTTTAGCGCAGCCATCAACATCATGACGCCATGGTGGCCACAACTGTTCTTCTGCTCATCCCTGCCTTGTGATGACTTCATGTTCTGATTCTGGTCATCTGGAGCTGAAGAAAACTGTTTGATGCAACCAGTGCTTCGAGAAAAGAAGCCAGAAAACAGATCTCATGACCACACCTCTCCGCTTACAGCTAGTGGTGCGTAACCATGCCCAACTCCCTGCTTCCGCAAGATGGCCATCTCGAACAGCAGCTGGGGATGATGCAGGTCTTGCTGGGCTCCAGACCTCTTCCCAGCGCTTGACAACCTGCCTCGCGTTTCTGGGGTACAGTGTACACTATCTACTCAATGCAGGTTTGTTTTGTAGGACTGAGCCGCAGGGGAGCTCAAAGTACCGTATCGTGTGGATTGTGGAAGACCCAAAAATGTGGATTGGGTACGTAAGCTTGGCAAACCTGCTTTGAGCGAGAGATGATGAAGGCCTGAAGCCTTGCAACATCTCGCAACTGTGTATGTAGCAGAATTTTCCGAACACAAGTTCATCATCCCTTTTTCATTGAAAGCACGAGCCAATACGAGCCATGTGAGGAGGATCCTGATTCTTCGGCTGCATGACGCAGGACTGCCTTGCTTAGCAATGGCCATGTCTGCGGGTCCGTCGCATGTTGGAATATCTTGATGTGTCTGGCTTCCACCTCTTAACTTTGGGATTTAAGGCTGCGATTCTTAAATAACCTAGAAATGCCTAGGGGCTATATGAACTATCTAGTATTGGATTTGGAGCTGCAAGAGAAAAACGACCAAAGTTGGGTCTGAGGTACAGCCAGCCCAGTGAAACTGCGTGGCATGCTGGGATGCATCCAGCCAGCTTTAAAACTTCCCAGAATCAGCGCCTCTTCTCCTGGTTCTGAGGTAAACGGCAGCTGGGTTGTTCAGAGGCTGAACTGCGTCGTCCCTACCAGGCCCGGCACATGACGGACCTACACCGCAAGTTTCATCTTACGTTTGATGACTTGGGTCAGGTCGTGCGTCACCTGGCTCCTAGGTGGCGCAAGACATGTACTGCTGTGATGGCAGAAACATGCAGAAACTGAATCTTTGTTGCATGGAAGACTGCCTATTAGCCAAAGTCTGAGACAGAAGTGCTGGGCAAGGCTCTTCAGCACTGTCAAATCCTTGACGGTAGCGGCATTTGACCCGCGCAAGAGAAGGATTTCATCCAGGAAGTCCTGCATTTTGGCGGATCAAATTTTCTGGAAATGGAGAAGAAGCCCGGCTGGCCGTCCACGCACATGAGCTAGCTTACCAGGCACAATTGACAATGTCTCAGCTGAGGTCTACCTCATCTGATAATGTTGCACTGACGTTAATGAAGAGGCCTTCTTTAATGTGTTTTCGCCGCCGCTTCTTCAGGATCTGGCCATTGTGCCATTGTTGGGAAGGTCCTCTTTATATGTTTTGGCTTCTGGGCCCTCAAAACACGGGACCGAATCCAGACCCTCCCTTTTAAAATAATCTCCAAGGCCTCCCGGGGCCCTCAGTACCGTGGGACCCTTATTCAGGACGTCTAATTTCCAGTGTAAAGTCTAAAGAAGGTCCAACATGATCATGCCTGTCAAGCTAAAGAACCCTGCCATCTATATGCCACAATGCCATGCGTGACTGCAGGGGAAGCGATCATCTTGATAAAGCACATAGCCAGCCTGGAAGTAGATGATCGGCTCGCCGTCAAAAATGATGTTGGGATCCTGGAAACATATTCCACCAGGCGGCTTAGCGGGGTGCGGCTGAAGTGCTGGCTTTTGCGCGACATCTCCGCAATTCTCCAAAGAACAGCGGCCTACAACGGATGGTCCTTGCTGAGCCCTGGCTTTGAAATACTTCGAAGACTAATCGAAACGGCATCCTCATTCCCTCTGGAATAAGGTCCCACAGGATCAACAGGCAGATGCACGCAAAGGTGTGCGGCCCATCCTTGACAAGAGCGATGAGATCTACGCCCACATCCTCGATGCAAGGGCTGAAGCTTTGAGCCCAACCTGCCCTCCATTCATGGGATTGGAAGTTGACTGTTGTAAGCTGCGCAGCAATATGAAGCAAAGCCAAGGCTGTGTGGGGTACTGGCATTGCTTCACTTGGCACTGTCACGCTCTGAAGTTTCGCTGCAAGCAAGCTTACCCTCCGTGTCCTGCAGGACGTCGATCGCCTGGTCGTTCTGGAGGAGCATGATGAATTCCTCCTTCGTGATTTAAGCATTGGCAGCAATGCAGTAGTATAACAAGCTGCAAGCCCATCAAAGATCAAACGCCAAATTGATGGAGTCATAACTTGTCAGGTTGAGCCCGGAGCAGCTCCTGGCTGATCGTATCACCCTCGGTTCCCAGGGCCTCCTTTGCCCAGTGCAACTCCTCCTTCCTTGAGGCAACACAGCGCAAAAAATGCTGCTTGACCTATCGAAACCGTGTGCAAATCAACAAGACCCTCATTCTTCTTACGCCCCTCTTCTACGGATAATCTGGCCCGCAGGCATAAGTCACACATCTTGGGTAGGCCCTGCACCAGCCTGTCAAATCATCATCACAATCAACAGACTAAGCTGCTGTTGAAGGACCCGATAGAGTCTGCTCTCACTAGCAGAGCCAAAACTTCTAGATTCCACAAATCTCAAACTAAGGTCCAGCCCAGCGGCAGGTTGCGCACGACCCGGCCTTCTTGCTCAGCGGTGGCCACAACACGCACCACTTCTACCAGCACACCGACAAGTAGGTTCATGACCTGAAGTCTTCGCCGGCGGCAACTCGGATGAGATTTGCAGGTCTGAACCATGAAGCCATTTCTTGCAGGCCTTTCTCTAATTACCATCGCCCTGGCAGTATGCATACATGTCGCAAAACGGCCGCTGGCATCACGTCCCCTACAATCCTGTGCAAATCGCCCTTGGAAGCACATCTGATAGCCCCAAGAATTTTTTGGAGACAAGCACCTCCAAACCTTCAGCAACTCCACACTAGGATCCGCACCGTCAGCGGCGCGCTGACAATGAAACATGCAAACAGGGCTGCGACGACGAGGTCATCCTGGGGCGTCTTCAGGGGTGGGTCTACCTTTTTGAACAGACAAGGCGGCCGTTGTCCCACTACAAGTAGCATGACTTCTAAGCTCTTACGACGGTAACACTGCGGTAACACTGCTCACTGTGTTCATCCTGAAAGGCTAGGCGAGCCATTGAAGCAAGGTCGTTGTTGAAGCAGCCATTAAAGATCAGGCTGAACATGGCCTCCGCCAGGGAGATTCTTTGCAGAGGCAGGCAGGATCACATCCCAAGATGCTTAAGCCTGCGGTAGTGTGCTGAAGTAGGCGTTTCCAGCTGGCGTGTCTACAGCTATCTGAGTCAGAGCAATGGCAAAGACATAGACGATCATGAGGCCAAGTAGTACCTTGGACACGCTTGTTTTGTGGGCAGTGCTCACAGGCAAAAGTAAAACTGAATATTTCTAGCTTGGAGATCTGCCTCCTGCCAATGAACATTCACAGCGTGAGACGTAAAAAAGCCGGGAACCTGACACAACAGACTCAAGCTAGACACGACAGACTGCCCTGGTAAGCAAAGTAAGTCTTCCTCTGAGGGACCGTGAGAATTACGGAGCGTATGGCTGCTCCGATGGCGCGAACCAGAATCAGCACTTCTGGGAGGAAGCGGAGCATGCCTCAAATGGTCTGGCTAGAATCCGCATGGTCTTTGGGCAGCTAGAATTTCTAGAGTCTAAGGTTCCACACTATGCGCAGACTCCTCTTATGCGAGGGGTTCAGGCGGATGGGGCGCCACATGGCCCGAGCGTTCAACTGCAATGGATATGCGTGGGCGAGCGTGCATGACAAAAAGAGTCGTTCGCATGTCATTCAGGCCTATAATTGTGAGCTATAGTTGTGAGCCATGTCTCGGGCAACACGGGCGACGCGCGTCAGCCGAAGAAGCCTCAGGACGTGCAAGTGACACACTGTAATCTCTGATGTGTTCCCAGAACGCCAGGTACACAGCTCTCGTTCTTTGCAAGCCCAGGAGCCGAAGCATCCGAAGAATAGAGGAATCGAAAAAGATCATATTAATGTCGGTGAAGCTCAGAACGATGAACAGGACCTCAGGAGCTCTGAGCAAACATCGCTCTCCTGGGGAATTTGAGTCATAGTCTTAAAGTCCCAGTATCCCCCTTCCAAAACCCTGTACTACTCCCAAAGCCCCCATAGTACTCCCTATATAACTCCCTTTAAGAAGTTTACACTACAGCTTATTTGATGTTGTTTTTTGGTTGGCCTCCGGCCGCTTTGTCTTAGCCCAGCCATGGTCTGACAAGCCTGAGCTAATTACTGGCCTTTGGTTAGCCAGGAATGGAGGAATGGAAAAGGAAATGGAAACTATAGGGGTTATAGGGATTATATAAGGTGTACATAAGGATTATAGGGTATGTATTGGGGTTATAAAACTACTGTAATTGTTTAGGGTTTAGGAATGGAAAAGAAAATGAAAGTACTATAATGGGTTTTATAGGGACTACTATGAGGATCCATTCCTTCATTCCTAGCGAACCAAAGGCCAGATGACTTTGCTGCAACCTTTCTGCAAGGTTGGCCAACACAGTGGTCAAGAAACAACGAACGACTTGTCAGTCAATGTTCATCAGCGCTCAATCGGGTTGGAGTCCCATCGTGCAAGGCAAACGCAACAATTCAAGATTCAAGCAAGTGTGTTGGAGGAAAGCACACGCAGACCTACGCTCTGATCGGCTAGGGTGAGGTTCAATTGACCACTCAAATGCAATGCCAAGGCATTCTGTAAACTGAGCAGTCAAAAAATCCCCCAAATGGTCCACAAGGCGCCCAGGTCTCCAAGACCATGAAGAAAGCCAGCAGGAAGTCAAAGATAAACCAGAAGTCCCGGATGGCCCGACATTTGTGCCTCAGTCTTGTACCACAGTGCTCTGTGGCGCGGCCTGTTATACTAATGACGAATCATATTCCCTCCATGACCCGCCAAAAGATCCGTACCTATGTAAGAAGAAGGATAGCGCAGGCAGCTGTGCCTCACCGGTGGATCCTCTGAATGCCACCTGACAACCTAGGCCTTTGAACATAGAAACCATCAAAACATATCTGCACATTTCTCTGATTTTTCCTAGCTCCCAAATCAGACCACACCTGTCGAACGTGTGGCTGAGTATGCATTGCTCGCAACACGGGGCTCACGTTCGACCCATGAGCTCACAGATTAAGAGTAAACACATACGGCTTAAGGCTGAAAAGGTCTCTAGAAAGTGTTTGAGCCAGTGTTGGAACTGACTGCAGCTAAGCTGTCATGTTGCAAGGCGATCATCAATAGGAGAAACATCTGGCTAGGTGGTACTGAATGAGCGCTGGATCCTGCTTGTAGGCTCATGCGTTAAAGGCTGTATACAGAGATGTTGTTCTAAATTCAAATATCGGTGCTCCAGCATTAGATTAGATTTCCTTGCGCCCGCCCTTGCGCCAGCTTGCGCACGTGGGGTTTTGGACGCATTCCGCCTGATGCCGCGCTAGTCTTGCCTCTAAAGGCGGGGGTTTAGAACGGCATCCATATGACCCTATAGACCTCACTTGTTCAATGCATTGCTGCTACTGCTAGGTCTCAATCATCACAAGACATATGCGCTACAGTCAATATTCCCCAAAATCAATGGACACGGGTTCATTATTAAGAACTATATTAGGGCCTTAGCGACTATACTAAACTACAAGACGGACCCCAATGTCCACTGATAAGCCCTGCACTGGCGTCCCTTAATAAGGCTAATATTGACAGTAGCTCATCTGAGTCATAGCCTAAACTCCTGGTATCCCCCTCAATAACCCGGACAATACTGCTCTATACAATGCCCTACATAACCTCCTGTAAGGAGTTTAGACCCTAAACCCTAATCCCTAAACCCTAAATCCTTAACCCTCTATAAGCCACTTGAAGGAGTTTAGAGAAGCTTGGGGGTTCAGGCTTGAGGGTTGTATGGTCTAGGTTATGTAGGAACTGTGTAGGAGCCCTTTAAAGGGGATGTTGATACTATCACTGATACGATGCCTTCCTCGTTTAGGTATGCAGGCATCCTCCTGTAGACTGTAGAGATGCATTTTCAGTAGCATCCTGGTGGGCGTCAATTTTGGGACGTTGCATGAATGCTCCTTCGCGTCAATGTTCTATTGTCTTGTTTATGGTCTGGAAAGGGTGCACAGACAAGCAAGAAATGCAGAAGCTTGCAGTAGCCCCGGCGACAAAAATCAGTCTGGGAATTCGGTTGGCGGCGTCTTGAAAGCGCAGTCCTTACCTACATGCCGCACACATGGCCAAGCACTCGCAAGAAAGCCGTGCATCGGACACCAGGTTACAGACACCGCCAATGCTCATGCATGGAAAACCTTCTGCAAGCACTGGCTTCGGTAGGCGAAAAATCCAGCCCAGTCCCCACATGACTGGACGTCCTGAGGTCCCGGCAATCCAGGACGTAGGGGGGGCTCGAAGCAATTGATCCCAAAATTTCCGATGCGAATCTGAAATCCTAAGCAGCCTTGTTTCCATTTGTTAGTCCAGTGCATTTTCCACTATATAACCCTAAACCCAATCCGAACTGTCACCAAGTGTGTAAACCCATACATGCCTCATCCTCTGAATTTCTAAAGCCCCCGAGATCTTATTGCTCCACCTTGCAAGCATTTATCAGAAGACTTTGGTACTCCGGTAATGGAGAATCAAATGGGAAAGAACGTCGAAAATCACATGGAAAACTGTGGTTACATGGCAGTTACCATAGAGAATTAAAATCCTTACTAAGAGGATTTTTGGTTACCCAGCACCCAAAATCTGGGCCTTGTGGCTTTGTGAAGATTATGGGATTCTTCTTATTAGGACTGGGGTTTACAACAAAAACTCTTCCTATGTTGGGCAACAAAGCATAATTTCCTACTGTACCAAAAAGCCGAACAGAAACGGCATAAGCACCCATGGGTACACCCTAAAATCTCATAGCCACAAATCCCCCAAACCGCCTGAACATTGCGCAGACACTCAGGCAGGACGGTCGTCGACCTTGGCCCAGAGCGCCTCTTCAACTAGCTTGCTATCTGGCTGGTTCTTGGAATTACCCTTCCCGAATGATCCAAGTACCCAGTAATCAAGGGCTTAGGATTTGAGTAGCAGGAATTGCATGACAGGTGTTTTGGCAAGCACATGAATGTTGAGTACGTCGACCCTCAGGCTTAGTGTGTAAGACTTGGCGATTGTCAAGAGTCAACGGGAATCTGGCTAACACTCCATGGGCATCCAACCCTGTTGCGAAGTGCCATTGACACGACACCCCACCTTGACAGGATGAAAAACCAGCATTTTCAAGGTTCCTTCCACAGAGTTTAGGGTTTAGGGTTACAGCTCTTGTGGTAAACTAACCTAAAGTTCTTGGCTTTGTCAGGGTCCAGGTGAACCGAAGACCGTCTATTTGATTCACTGAGTATAGCTTCATCCAATCTTTGGAGCATACTGCGACCATAATGATCAACATGTATATTCATCTTACGCAAAATCCACCACTTTTGGGTTTAGGATTTGGGAAAAACACAAAGACTTCAAGGGCCAGGCCTAACAAATAACACAACTCATAAACGAGAAGCAAACAAGCTGAGCGCATACTTTGGGTTGGGCCCCCACCCACTGATAGTGACCACAAGAGATAATGGCAACTATATTAGGGTCCTTCTATATTCCTAATATACTACAATTAGTGGGTGGGGGCCCAACCCAAAGCATACTCCATCTTTTGAGTGGGGAGCCACCTGAAACTCCTCAATTTAGATGCTCTTTATACAGGCGCTATATAGGGTTTAGGGTTTAGGGTTTAGGGTAGATAGATACTGGTATATAGGGATAGATTTTGGGATTAGGACTTATAGTTTCCAATTCAAAGGTCCCTTTTGGGGGTTAAAAAGCATCCAATGCTTCTAAAGGGGGACACGTCTTTCTCGAACCCTCAAAAGCGATACCTAACCTTACAAGTGATGGGTATGGATCAAAAACATGAAGCTTGGGTTTCCTTCTGGCGTGCCAGGTTAGGGATCCAGCCCTCCATTTGTGCCAGCCACCAATAAAGTAGTCCTATGCCTTAAGCTCTAAGTAGACACAGTGCAGGGTGTAGGGTTTAGACCCAAGAAACCATACCAAACCCAAAACAAAACTACATGGGGACGGACCAGGCAAAACCTGGGTCATACGTTCTATGTCGATGCTTCGTATATGTATGATGGGTGGGCACAGGTTCGTATTAGGGAATATGTACAAGACTATACTAAATAACCAAAAGGACCCCTATGTCAACCCTCCATTGTCTCTTGGCAACCCTGGTAATGACAATCCAAACAATACACCCTAAAATCCATACTCTTTTCCATTTCTCCTACATACCCAAATAAACACCTGTAGGTTAAGGTAACTCTAAACGCCAGGCCCTCATCATATGATTTGGGTCAGCTTGCTGATGGAGAGGCACTCTGGAGCGAGTAGAAGCGCGCGTTGCAATCGGTGGATATGCAGAGGGTTTCCAAAAACTAGTGGATCTCTTGTGGGTGTCCTCATTTTCGGTTTTCGGTACATTTGAAGTCTGTCTTGTCTTTTCAATCTATCATACCAAAGCCTGTATTTAAGGCTTCTATGCTCAAAGGAATGTTTTTTTTTGCCCAGTTGAAGACGGGGCACCCAGAGAGGGAACCAGAATTTCGAGAAAACCTCTGCCGCGACAGTTCGTCCCAGCCATGGTCAAACATGGGCAGGGATGCTGCGAAAGACTGGGGTATGATGGTAATTGCAGGAGCAAGGTTTTGAGATACAACCCTAATCCCTAAACTGTTTCTAGTTTGAGCACTTCCCTACCTGAGGACAAACATGCCTACACATCTGGACGATGTGCGCTGATGCTACGGGATCTGGGGGTTTGCGGGAAATAAGGGGTCCCTTTTAAGGGGTGCCAAAACAAGGATTATTGTATATTGGGGTTCACCGCGGGGTGCCCCTCTATATGGAAACTACCATTTAAGCTGTCCAGAACCTCATTGCTGACCTGCCGGACTTGGCATGGTGAAGGACGATGACGGTGTCACGTGGTCTGTGCAAGCCTGTGACGCTCCCGCAAAGTCTGGACTTTCAATTTTGCAGGCAGACGACCTAAACCTACAAACGGGTAGTTTCCAGACATGAGACCCATTTCAAACAGCACAAATACGAGGTGAAGTAGGCTAACTGAGGAGCCAACGGCTGTTATTTGAGGGGACAGAATATCTTTGTTCAAACATGATTTCTGGAGAGGTTCTAAACGGAAACTACTCATGCAAGTCTGTCTACCATTATGTTCCGGTTCTAAACAGTGATGCTTTTTAAGCAGCTTGGCATATGCGAGTGCCAAAACTTGAAGGGCTTGACTTGAAAGACTTGCCACTTCTGACCCTGAGTGTCCCATATGGGGGTTTCCCAAAATTAGGGGTACCCTTTTGGGGGTCCCCATAATAAGGACTATAGTATTTAGGGGTCTATATTGGGGTCCCCCTATTTTGGGAAACTACCATATCTCCAGGATGGCGTAAAGATTCAACAGCTTCTAAACCCTAAATGCATTCTTTTTCACCTTAATTCAGACGCTAATGTTGTAAAGAAAATCTCAGCAGATGCACCTCAACGAAACAAGAACCAAGACCAAACTCAAAACATCAGCGCCGCACACTGGACGTGTTTGTCTGTATGACTCCTCAACCCCACCCCTAAGCCCTTAACCCTAAAACGCCTTATCCCTAATCCACACTTCACAGGTTCATGTAGTTCTCAGAGATCCCAACACCCCTTAGTTGTTTGTATGAAAAGTAATCATTTCAACCTGAACTCCACACATCCTCCGCCCCAAATTGTGAAGTATGCCCATCTGCCCGTGCAACTCTCACAATAATATGAATTAACTATGCATTAACAAAGCGAATACAAGGAATATGTAGTGCTGAGGGGGGAGAGGTGCTAAAGATCAGCGAGCGTGGTGAGGATGATGATGACAGTTTAAGGTGAAAGGGGTTACCTAGTGCCACTCGAAGTACTTTCGATAGAGAATGATATTCAGACTTAGGCCATGGGGTATATAACTAGTGGCGTTTCAAGTTGTAAGTACTTTCTTTGGTGAACTTACGGGTGGTTAGCAGGAAATAGGGCAATATGATCCCCATGTACTCTCCTTATAATAGTGTCCCTTGTTTCCTGCTAATTCCCTCCTAACCTCCAGTAAGTTCAGTTGCAAGTGCTTTCGTTGTTTCAGGGGTGTTGGGATCTGTGAGTCCCTCGGACAGTGATTGACCGGAAGCTGTCATCGGCAACGCGCCCAGAGGTCTTCCCGACCTTGCTGTGTGAAGTACTTGGATTAAGCTTGAAGCTTTAGCGACGAAATACTTGGAGGGTCTCCCTAAACCCCTAAACCCCCTAACTTGTACACCCCAATCCGAATAATGGAGAATCAAAAGGGCAAGCTTGAGTTTTGGGGTTATTGGGCATGTTGTTACTCCCCTTTAAAGGTTCCCCCTTAATAACTAATCTTAATTGCGCAAAATAGTTCTGGGGAACTAAGGGGTGGTAGTACAGGGGGGGGGGGGGGGGGGG